AAGGCAGTACGGACAGTGCGGACAGGTCATGGAGAATGCCCGTTTCGGCGCCCGCAGCGATATGCGACGCGCGGAGACCACGTGAGCTTTCTTTGGAAGTTTCTCTCTACGGGCACTCTTGACGAACATAGCGGATATTTAGCACAACGCGACCATCTGCCAGGCTCACGCTGTAAACGCTTGAGATCAGTAGTCAGTTCAAGATGCAAGCTTACGGGCCTTTATTTCGCAAGCCTACGGGCTTTTATCTCGTTGACGCTCAGGTCACCAAAATTTCTGTTTACGGCGAGAATTCTCCGAAGGAAACATCCAGGTAAGCAATAATTCTCATCAACTTGGGCGTCCCTCTGCTATGATCTATCAAATGTAATTGGTTGGTATCTTTAGCGTTCTGCTCAAGAGATTCCTTACCTTGAACTCCCGCCATGACGGACAATGTACTTGCGCAAGCACCAGGCGACGACTGCTGCAAAGGCGTGAAGCACACTGGCGAGCCTAAGGGAAAGATTGAAAAGATTGGGGGCCTCGATACATACATCGCAACTCCTGCTGCAGGACAGGCTGCGAAGGGTATTATCCTATTCTACTCCGACATTTTTGGCCCTCTGTTCATCAACAACAAGCTCATTCAAGACTACTTCGCTGATCAAGGTGAGCTTGGTCTGCTCAATCTTGAGAACTTTCACCCTGAATTAGTACAATTGTGGCCGACTTTGGGATACGCAGGTTTCATCGTCGTTGGTATCGATTACTTCTTGGGCGATCCCATAGAGACTCATCTCAATGAAGCTGGTTTCGATTGGCCGGCATGGCTGTCGAAAAGTGAATCTCAGTCGCGGGAGTACGAACCTAAGTGGTATGAAGCGATTAAGAAGAGATTCGGTAAGTCAACTCATATTCTCGAGCTCTTCCCCCCTTTTTTTCCCGCGAAGCTCTTATCCGAGCCCACTTTCTTCTTCTACCTTTCTATCTTATATGACGGCGCTGAACATTGATATCTTACATTGGAACTTAGGGCAGGAAACTAAATATACCGCCATCGGTGACCATCGATTAGCAACATGTATAGTTGGACAAAAACATTGACTATCATATTCAGGCTACTGCTTTGGAGCTCCATTCGTCTGCGAAGCTGGTGCTTCCGGTAAGATGGTCGCAGGTTCGTCTCCTACCATATGCCACGTGGTTTTACATATTTATTGAATCTTTTTGGGGTCTTCACGACTTGTCTTATGAAGGCGCTGTTGCTCATCCAGGGTCCTTAGACGAGAGCCATTTCCGAAACATAAACGGTGCGCTATCTATATAGGTATGTTATACAGTCGAGGATGGAGCCTGATAACTATCGTGCCAATCGCAGTTCCTCTCCTATTATCATGTGCCGGTATGTATTGGTTAGCTGTGTTCTTTTTTTTTTTTCGCAGTTCTTTTCCGTCGTACAAAAACCACCGAAGCATTGATGGTTTGCTCAGTCACTCTCAAACGAGCGCCAATCTTTTCACATACTTCGAATCGTATACACTTTAGAAACGCATGCTGATAGATTCGACAGAGGAAGACCACACATTTTCCACAGAGTTTCGCCGGCGCGCGGAGGGCATCCTAGTCGAAGACAAGAAGGTCTATCATTTACAAGTGTTTGGGGGCGTCAAGCATGGTTTTGCAGTCAGGGGAGATCCAAATGTTGAGAATGAGAGTGAGTCTGGGCCTGAGTTGTTGTTACTATTTCTTCTCTTTCTCTTCTTTTTTGGACATACTTCAATCATTTCGATTCGAGCCTACCGGACTAATGAGATGCTCTTACAGGGTGGGCAAAGGAAGAATGCGCGAGGACCACCGTCGAATGGTTCAAACGTTTTTCGAAGTAAAGGGCGGGTGACATTAGGATCTAAACACCAAACAATGTTTTTGCGTTTCGTGTCAGCTCCTGAACTCTCATCATGGAATTCTCATATGAAATACTGTGCGTTTTGTGCCTCATTATGGATCATGTACAGTAAAAACTACCGAGATGTTGAAGAATAGATCAACAAGTTGTGGAGACGTTGCGTTCCGAGGAACAGAGTGCATAAATTCCTACTCGACTTTAAGCTGGAAATTATGTGATGGCTATCAAAAGCAAACAAGCTAGCAGTCACTATTTACGGTGTGTACGAGCGAACGATGAATCCTGCTGAACGGTCATTCCAAACATGACTGTATTCACTGCTGATTAAACCAATTCCGAGAACTTGAGGTAGTAGAGCTAAAACGCAGGCCTCATTGTCTTACTCAGACCCTTCGTGGACTATACAGCAGCGCTGGAAGCATATGATCACGGTGCTTGCTAATTCGTATACTATTTACTTGATAGTATAATAGTTAATTGGGAGCGATCTGGAGACCAGAAAGCAGTATAGTTATTCTACAAGTCCGTATGATGCGTGTATGTGACCACCGTATGTAAGCGTGATGACCTCTGGAAATAGAGAGAAGGAAAAATGCAGGAGCGGAAGGGAGTGTAGCATGGAATGCGATCGATGATGATAAGAGCAAGAACAGAGTACTATATGGGCAACTGCAATGTGCTTATGTGAGATCCGTGAAATGAATGAACGTGCAATTGCAGATGAGGCAGAAGTGCAGGACGATATGCAAATGATGAGATGAGATCCGAGATCCGAGTGATGGAAATGATTGAGATAGAATGCAGCGGTAGATGAAGGAGACTGACGATGGAGACGAAGAAGAATTAGTTAAAATATAAACTAGGAGTAAATAGAAGAAATAGACGTGCGAGGAAGGAAAAAACCCCGCAAGGTCCGAGAACACATTACATAATAATGCAGTCCTTAGCGTCCTTCTTCTCTGCCTGCGCTTCTGCCATTCCACGGCCCCGAATACCCATTTCCTCGAACGTCGCGTACCGCGGCGTCGTAGGTTGCGAGCCGGTACCCGAGGGTGACGGCGGCGCCGAAGCCCCTCCGCGATGTGGGCGCCGCAGAGGCGGCGTGAGCCCGTCTGAAGGCGAGCCATGACCCGAGTCGGAGACCGCACGCCGACCTGAGATGCCTGTCCCGCCGCCCAGCGAGGGCGAGATGGGCCCCGAGTCTACAAGTGTGAAGCGCTGGCGCTCGGGGAACTGGACGCGTCCGGACGCGGCCGTCGGAGAAGCACTTGGACTGCCAGGCAGGCTGTGCATAGGAGAAAGCGATCCAGATCGGGCGGGTGCTTGAACGTGGGGCTGCTCGAAGTACGAGGTGGTGCGGAGAGAAGATTGGCGGGGAGAGTATGTGCGTTCCTGTATTTGGTTCTGAGGAAATTGCTCTTGCGAAGGTGAGACGACAGCAGCACCTCTCTGCAAGTAGAGATTATTTGTTTAGATGTAAGGATGAGAAAAGGGTGGTATTGCCGATTTGACACGTGAAAAGGGGCAAGATCGTTTCCGGTCAGCGTTTGGTGAAGGCTGGATGTCGTGAAGAGAAACTGACCTCCTCATACCACTCCGCCGAGCGAAGTGCCTCATCCTGCGTCCCAATGTCTTCCTCACGATCAAGTTCTTTTGCAAGCTCGTCAGCCGTCAAAACCTGTGGTGCCTTCCGCGGCGTATCCCTAGATTCATCCATGGACGAAGACGACGCGTAGTTCATGAAAGCCAACGCTTCCGTATGCGAGAATCCCTCCTGCGGCTCAACGGGGCTTGGCGGTGCAGAGTGCTCTATCACACCGTGTAGACTCCTTACTCTTTTCAGCGGAATCTCGTTCAGCACTGTCGACGACGACGGCGACGCTGCGAGCTGCTCCTCCGACTCTACGAGCCTGTCAGAGGCGACGTGAGCTAGATAAAAATCGTCGACCTCTGAAGTGAATAGCCTCGGCAGAGTCGGGAGCGAGCACTTTTTCCCCTTGTTGCTGTTGTCTTGAGGGGCGCCGGGAGACGGAGACGTTGGAAGAACCATTGAAAAGAATACGGATTGCGTAATGTATCATAAGCTATGTTATGCCCAGTGTTCTCACGGCATGCTTGACGACGGCCTGCCCTACCAATCACCATTTTCCCGAATCCCAAATTATTTGGCCTCCTTGCTTTGTCTGCGTGAAGCTGGCGAAGTGATAAGATGATTGTTATCTTTGGACTGAAATTTGCTCCCTGGCTTCAAGGCACATATCCCACGTAACGACTTGGCAAGATTACGACACAGCCACTGCTTGAGTGGCACAGTTGAGAGGAGGAAACGGCGACGACGAGATTACCCTCCAGGCCTACGAAGAGATTGATGTCAATGGTTAGCAAGTTTGGAACTGCAATTGTCAGACGCATACAAATTTAAGACTGAAAAGAAATTTGTGCCTGTTTTTCTTTCCGCGATTGTGAATTATGGTGCATTGTGTCTTCTACTCGAACCTTTCGCAGAAACGTCAGTCTCATGCTTTAACTTGTTATCATGTTACGTCTGATCCATCGCAGTCGTGCAGAAGCCTTCTGGTGTTGCAAGCTTACCCCTATTGGAACAAGCTACGCAAACTTGCACGAGCGATGGATGTCTCTCCCACATCAGTGAAAGGAGTAGCAGTAACGGAAGACAAGAAGACTTCAAGAAGTAGTAAAATCAATTAACGGATGAAATAAAACGAGTGCGGATCTGCGCAATCGACTTGCACTCGCAATCATGGACTTCGCATGAGATCAACTGTAGTGCACATTTCTGGATCACTCAGATCACGGCAAGCCGTAGTTTGATATGTCTCTTCCTTAACCTTCGAGGGAGTTTGTTCTCGAGGACCTATCTCAAAAGTCTGTTTTATGGGCGACGATGTGCGTGCTGAAGTGCATACACTCACCGACCGCACCAAACCAAATGCCAATAAAGGGCTAACTCTACCGCTGAAGAGGGAGCATTCCATAAGTCAGCTTACGAATGAACGGGGATCGGGGGAAGCGTTTGCACGAAGTTAGGGAAGCCAAGGGGTGAGTCAGTGTTTATTTTATTTTACTTTATTTATTTAATTACCCATTAGATGGTCTAGTGGTCTAGCGGTTATGATATCTGTCTAACATGAAAGTTCTACATTTGGGTACACAGATGGTTCCTGGTTCGACCCCAGGCTAGATCATAGAAGGGCATTGCCCTATCTTTTTTTCCTCCTTCATTCTTTTGTTTTTACCTACAGCGAGCACCTATAATCCGGCACATGAAACTAATCCTTCAGATTATTCACACTTCCCGAAAGTACGAACGAGGTTATGAAGTGTCCAGGGAATCTCTGTTGTGACATGGATTACAATCGAGAACAAAGTGCGCGTTTTACAACAAAACAATACTGAAACGTGTGATGCGCAGTACGAGGCTCCTTTTTAGATGCTCGAAAATGGAGGTAAAACTCGCATTCTTCAGTCAATCATTTACTCCCCGCGATTCCTCCAGCGCCCCGACAATGATCGGGAATCAAGCCAGCTCTAGGACCTAGCCTGTCTCATCCCACCGTTCAAACTTGCCCTCGGCAAGACTCGCTCTGTAAGCGCCGTCTATCGTGGCAAAGAGGGCGTCGAGATGGCCGAGCGCGTCTACGAGCGCTGTAAGTGCCGAGCGGTTATCTGAAAGCATCACATGTCAGGTTTTGAGGTAAAGATTCCTACTGGGGAGGGACACACACCGTACATCTGCACACGAATCTGAATAATATTCTCCGAAGGATGTGGCGCGCTGTTAACAAGGATCAGAGGGTCAGTCCGACGGTTATTATTGAGGTAGACGCGAAGATGGAATGGAAGGCGGGGAGGATGGTAGACATGAAAGACGCCGTCGCCGAAGCCCACGTGAGGATGCGCTCGAGGCTTCCAGTCTGGCGGTATGCATCCCAAAAAAACACGAAGACGAAGACAATAGAATTATGAGACCCTTCAGATAGTAGCACTGGAGCACGCGCATCATTGAATCACACAAGACGTCTGGGGACCTGTTGGGACGCCGAATGTGCGCATTTCAGAGGTACACATTTCGGAGGTACGCGGCAGCGAAGACAAGAGACGCGACGAGGACGATGATAATCGTCGATGTGGGATTAACTCAAACCAAATCAAGTAGTCCGATACCAGCAGCGATACGCCAAATCGATGGCAGCATACCGGCCAAAGCATATTCGCCGCGGCCAGATGAAGGATGTCACATTTCCAAAAGATGCATGTAATTTTGTGGGAGAAAGGTGCGGGTGATAATTTGTTGCTACCCGAAAGGGCAGCATGGCGGATATGCGAGACACCCTTCTTTCTCAGCACGGGTCAAAGTGCGATCAAAACTTGAAGCGCGTGGGTTCAGGCGCCGTAACGAGAACGGTGTGAGCGCCGAGACGGTCCTAGGAAAGGCGGAAAGGGGGGAATCCATACGACGTATACAGGAATAGAACTGGGCGCATAATACTTCGCCCAAGCTGGATATAAATCTTCACCGTCGAGTTGGACAGTTGGGCGCTGAAGGAATCATCAAGGGACGCCTGCAACTTAGAACGAGAGTCCAAGGCGAAGGCCGAAGGCCGAAGTTGAGGCCGCGGCCACGATACCAAGTTCTTCGAATGTAGACCCTAATAGAAGAGAAATAAAGGCTAGAGTGGACTGCATCTTCTCCCGCAAGGTCGTTGACGCTGTACGGAGGTTCGTACGTAAGACTCTTGAGATAAAGAGAACCGGGACAAGACACAAACGAAATGAATTAAGAACGGAACGAGGACTGCTACTTTCTCAGAAGCGTGAAGTCTCCTCGGCTCATAATTCGGAGGTCTAGAGGAAAGAATGGGAGTAACGATAATAGTGAACAACACGCCAAGACTTCACGGAAGGAAAATGTGCAAACATACCAGTGTCATCGTCCACTTCTACGCATTCACACTCAGCATTAAGCGTCTGAATTCTGGGTTGCCCGTCTTGCTATGCCCTTGCATCGCCTGCTCCTGCGCACGCGTCACCTCGTCCCTCTCCTCACAATCTAATGCCATAAGCGGGTCGAGAGGAGACAACCAAGATTATGTGGGGCCGTGTGCTCCCTTCGCATCACTCGGTGCAATGTCTTGTGTGGGCCGTGCCAGTCGTAGTAGTCGATACGAAACAATGGCACCGAAGAAAGAAAAAAGCTCGGGAACTTAGAGAGAAAGCGCCAATCCGCACACGAAAGAGGCCATGATGGTCGAGAGCATTTGGAAAGAGAGCATGAAAAAAGCCGCATGTGCTCACCTATACCCGCAGAACTCGACTTCCGGACTTCACGTTTCAACCAAGCATTTACACATTCAAGTTAGCTCTTCATCTCCCAAAGAGAACGCACATGAACGTACTTTTTCATGAGCATCCATCTGAGCGCGTTTCCGACTGTATGGCCCTCATCGTGTATCCTGAACGTCGCAGCGGACAGGTCCGGTGCGGCGCCCTTCATCTGTACGTCAAAAATTGCTTGGCCTCGTCTTGAGCTCGTAAGAAACCGATCAAATTAGACGCACGATTGTGATTTTGGGCGTCGTCGCAGCGTCGGCCATCTTCGTCCACGTTGTCCACACCTGTGCTGCTTCACTGTTTGCTGCTGGACGTCAAAAAGTGCACGGAGCTTGTTCACACCGGCCCGGAAGTAAAACTTACGTAACTGATGTATTCGTAATCTCGGCAGTGCTTTGAGCGCAGTGCGAATCGCTGTACACGACTCTACTCAGCACTCTCAGAAAAGTACTTCGGTCTGAAATGGCCCAGTCAGGTTTGGGATGGTGGTGGTCGGTGCGCTCAAGAACTGAATCGTATTATCAGAGAAGTTACAGGGGGTCAAGTCAAAGTCATCGAGGTGCGTAGTACCCATGCACAGTTCTCCATTCATTTGAATTCTAAGGCTAACGCGTTCATTCCGCTTTTGGCCTTCAATTGTATAGGAATGTTCGAAATATCCTGGATCTTGCACAATACCGGAAATACGAACATCGTCACCCATCACCAGAACTGGCGAGCCTGAGCTCATCTTCTCTCCTGTCCGCTGAAATTCTTAGGCTACTGCTGGGTGTGCTATGCTGCTCGACTTTGAAGCGCACTGTAAGACTTACGAGCTTCGGAGGATCGATGTTAGGGGGGCTCGGTCGATGCCCGACCTCCACTCTACCTACATCCGCTTCGGATCAATGGATAAACAGCATCGCGCGCCAGAATTGAGTGCAGCGCTTTACAGGTGTCTACTCGCTTCCTTAAGCGCGAACATAGAAGTTGGTATACAAACGGTAAAAACCTTCTGAGGCCGTGCCATTCCTTAGGCTTTCGGGGAACCTTTGCGCATTTATGGCCGCAACGCCATTCCAGCTCTGATACGAAGACAAAACGGAATATTTGCCGGAATTTAAAGAATAGGTCCCACAAGTTATTCTCGGGTTTCTTCCCTCGTGATCACCGACGAACTTCTAAGATATACATATAGATGCCTCACTTGGTCAGCAACGTGTTCGTTGAAAAAAATGACTATGGCATGACGTCGGAGTTGTCGGCTCAGTCTTTTTGCATCGGTGTTCGCTGGAGAAGAATCTGGTTGCTCACCAAGCCGCGCGTCCATCTTCCGATATCGCAGTGTCCCATCCTATTTGTATCTCTTTTCAAGTGTTTCGCTATCCCGTCTTTCGCGACAGAGAATGATAATCTTAGTAAACCCGGGCGTCTGGTTCAGCGCTTCTGTAGCACCCCCACAAGTACCACAGAGTTAGTAGTGCTTCGAACTATATCTGCAAAAGCCCATCCCTGTCTTTTCGGCCGACAGCCTCAGCGTCTGCTAAAACGACATCTGATACTCTCTGAATGAAGTGCGGCAGCATCCGCAAAGTTATACACTATCTCGCAAACAATCGAATGTTTTGGTCACAAAGGAGCAGGTACTAGATCGTCACTGACTTCACTGCGTCACTGATACTCAACATGCAAGTATATTTGTATCAGTAGTCTGCCACTCTTTCCGCGCTGCAGACTCCCTTTTCCTCTCTCCGAATGTCTCGTGATCGTGCATTGAGGCTTTGGTTCAGTGGGCCAAACCATCGTTCTTCCGACGTGCTTCACATTCATCATGTTTGCGTGCTCGTGACTGATCGCAATATACTTTTTAAATAGTGACAAGATAAACGCAGACAATATGCTTATGTCTCTTGACCGTCTGGAATAATTGATTTGTGACCAAGACTGATTGATTGTATATAGTATGTACTCGAACTCTGCCCTGCCCTTGCCACGCTCGCATATTTCTCAGGAGAAAAGTTTATGTCTTGTCCGCAACAAGTTCTTACTTTGCGAAAAGCTGGATACTCATCTATCTAGTTATATATTATATTCGCTACATCTCTAACCTCTCATTCAGTATGTTTTGTCTTGGACTCTCGGACTTAATGCTGACCAAGTCTAATTGTCACAGTGCGCCGACCTGAAAGCTTTACCTCTCTTTCGAGTCTGTGGAGACTGTTAATATCTATCCCATAGCTGAGCAACATTTTCAATATAGAAACCACCTGGAACCTGTCCTTGTCGAGCCAATTACCCAGAGTCTATGTCCCATTTTGGTTCTTAACGAATCAACTCCCAGACAGGAACTAGTTTCTCCGGCGTCGGCTGTCGTGATAGAATATTTGAAGCTCTTATCCATTCGTTGATTCCCACAATTACTTGCTGAGTGCATATCACAATGCTAAAAGGTGAGTGCAAAGTCTCCTGACTCGCGCACTTTTGTCCCGAGCTCGAACTGTCAATTTATGTAACAAAAATTAGGACAGATGTCCTAATATATTTATATGGAGGTATGTCTCATTTTACTAAATAAACAAATATTGCTTAGTACCGTAAATTTCGTATAGAGTATGGTATGCAGAAAAGAACACTACGATGTTAGCACTCGCTGCGTGCAAGTGTTATCCATTTTTTCTCGCCGGGACCTTGCCATCTTCACACTAAATCTCTACTCCAATTCGTTTGGCGACTTTTTCAGAAGCTCCTGTTTCATCAAGATCCGTGTCCAAACCCACTGACTGTAGTTCGTCGATTATGAGCACAGGCGCTAGCAATTTGTACTTTTTGAAAGGTTCTTGCCTAGCCATAGGCAATGGAAATATGGTTCTGAGCT